ATATATATATATATATACATGTAAAATTCATTATCATATATAAATCTTACTTTGAGGCTTAAATTATATGTGATACAGAAGCAATCAGAATAGGTATTCAGAATTCTATCAACAGGACAGGTGATCTCCAACTTCTGGAATTCAATGCTAATTTGTGAAACTTGTTTTTATTTGTATCTGAACGTGCACAACTTGATAAAACAATAGCCTAAATATTTGAAATCTAAACAGATCTCTGTCAGGTGTTGTAGTGATTACATATATTTAATGATATTGTAGATCCACACTAAACAATTCCACTGAAGAGAATACTGAATACCAAAGTACAATATAAATAAGATTAATACATATCAATTTCTTAATTTGTAACTTGCTGTAATCATTCCTCATTGTTTTGAATCTAAAATGATAAGTTCAGGACACTGTATGTCTCACATATAAGAAGAATAGTAAAAGAACTGTAGCCATCCGCCGACTTACAGCTGCCATGACTTTCGCTCGAACTTGAGTTCTTAATCACAGGATACGGGTGCTTCGGATATGGGAGTGGAACACACTTCAAGGTTTATGAATGTGGGGGCTCTAGAACACACCATGGATTGCAGTTTTAATTTAAAGTTTCATTAATGATCAATATTTACATTATTCTCCAAGCTAGCCGCTCCGTCCGCCGACTCACTACCACTACTGTAAAACACTTCTCTGTTCTTCATCTACCTTTCAACAACTCTCCTCCCCAGCTCCCTATAACTACTTCCCTCTCTTTACCAGTCCCCCAGTTGGCCTAAAAACGAAAAATAGAAACATGAAAAGAGAAAGCGAAGGGTCGAGCCCGACATCTGTCCTACATCCGTATTTTGGAGATACCCATAAACCTTTGTAGGTCTTCAAGGCACACGAGCAGGGAACCCAAGATCCCTCCTGGCCGGTCTCGCACAAGGTCATTTTATGGGTTTATGATACCAGGAGCAAACTGGCGACGTTAGGTACTATAGTAAAACCCTAAGCCTAAGGAGGACAATAGCTGAATTACAACTAGATGGTCCCGGGATGGTATCTCGCTGGAGGAGCGTCTCTCATGGTGTTAAACAATGCATTAGTTGTTCGTACCCTTAATAAAATACTTCTGGCGAGGGACGTACGGTTACAGAACTGATAATGGAAGTATTGTTACATAATTTATGAGACATGACTACATCAGTAAACCTTTGCATTGAGAACTCAACATATGGAAATATTTCCCTGCATTAAAAGGTTTTCTGCTCCTACATCTTACTGTCTTTTTTAAGAGTTTCATTGTACTTCTCCTACTTAAAATATAGATAACAGATAGGTAGATCAGTACCTTTCGGCACCTCATGTTATAAAAAATTTTAGGCCATCCTATTCAACAATTTATTCAAGTTAGAATATACAAAACTAATTAATTCCATGGTAGAGAATCACTCTTGAAACTAAAACAATGATAAGCTTTTTTGCTATTTCTTTTCAACTTTACTTTGGAATACACCAGTTTAGAGGCATGCCAGTCTCAATAGCTACATGTGCCCGGATAACATTGAAGGATGAACACCCTTTACAAAACCCAGTCTAAAATTACTTGAAAACAGACCTGTGTGAGACTGTAAAGTAGTCAAACATTGGTAAGAGGTTCAAGAGAAACAGTAATAAACATTCTATTAACAAATCCAAGTAAAACAGTCTGTATGCAGGTCAGTAAAAATCTCAAAACAACATCAAATATGTAACAGTTCAAGCTGGAGCTAAAAGGGAAACAAATAAATATGTCAATCACAATATCATGAAGAAATGCTATAATGTTGGACATGTTACCATGATCACCTATGAGGATGATGCGCAACATGCCTTGAAAGTTTAAATATCTTGAAACAACAGAAATAAATCATTTATGAAGAAATTAAGAGCTGATTAATTACAGAAAATGCTTGCATTTCAGAATATTTTGTCTTCCGACTTCATATAAAAAACAATTAAAATACACAAAACTGTAGCATTACCTGTTGTTTTGCATGGGTGTCAAACATGATCTCTCACCCTAAGGGAGAAACATAGATTGTAGGTGCTTAACACACAGTGAAGAGGAGAATATTTGGAATTGAGGAAGAACAAGTGAAGGCTGGAAAAACTACACAATGAAAAGCTTCACAATTTTTCTCTTGACTGGAGGATGAGCTGCACAGGAAACACATGGAAGAAATGAGAAATGCATAAAGGAATTTAATTGGAAATGCCGAAAGGAAGAGATCACTTGGGAGATCAAGGCTAAAATGCGATGAACCACTCGCTCACTCACTTCCATCTCTAATGTAACCTAAAACTGTTCACAATCTATCCTTTATTTAAAATGACAATAATATAAAATAAATTGCTACATGTTTGTGCCCTACTTGGCCATCTTCAGGCAATTGTTCACTTATTGAAACTGTTGCTCTGCATTAGATTATGAGTCAATGAATTCAATGCTATTGTATATCATTGTGCACACTTAAATGTGTTTCAGAATGAAAACTCTCTCTTTGTTCTGCATTATTTTCCTTTTGAGGCATCCATGTTTGTGCCCCCTTCATATGTTTGTTCTCACTAGTTGGGAGTCTGTCCCTTATATCTTGTTCTCACTAGTTGGGCGTTTGTCCCTTGTATTGCAAAAAGAAACTAACTTTGAACAAAAAGAGAGCTTTTATTCTCAAACACATTTTAGTGTGAACAACAATATGCAATAGCATGGAATGAACTGACTTAAGATCTAGTGCAGTGCAACAGTTTCAATACACAAACAATTGACTGAAGATGACAAAATAGGGCCGAAATATGTAGCAACTGATGTGATTTTAATGCCATTTTAAATAAAGGATAGACTGTAAACAGTTTTAGGTTGCATTACAGATGGAAGTGAAGGAGACAGAGATATCAATGCAACAGGATGCTCAAATACATTATAAAATGTGATGATGCTACTACAACTGATTTTAGAGGAACTAGGTCTGTGGCTGAGCATTCAATTCATCTGCCTCAGGGTAGGGACCAGAGGCAGGATTCTGTGAATATGGCAACAAACTTTTAGGTTCCATAAAAGGGGGATAACAGCTTGACCAGATGAGTGAATATCAGCTTTGCTCCATGGAGTTACGTCAGTTACTTTAAATGAATAAAGGATTAGCAAGAATAAAGTAAGATAAAGCTGCATATATTGCAGACCTTTGAGGACATTCCAGAAGTACATTATCTAACTGTGTAGCAAATGCAATACTGAAAGTTAAAATTTGGTAAAGTATTATATGACTTTATATACTGACTTACACTACAGAAAAACAAATCCTGAACATCACTGAAAGACAGGAAAAAACATGGTTTAGAGACATTTGTCAATAGATGGCATGGTTACTAACAAATGCTCATCTTTTCTACCAGTAAAATTTCATGTCTTCATTAATCGGAAGTGCTGCTTTATACTGCAGAAAATTATTTATAAGTCTGTTAATGTATTTGCTTTGATTCTGATCATTTGTAAATCCTTCATGTCATTTTTCATAGAGACTGAATATTTGTTGAGCAAAAATGAGTACGGAGAGCTATAAATCATATCATATTAATTACTGTGATATCATTAAACAGATGTGTATGTTAGGTTTTACTGTGACTTGACCAACAAGCATGAAGAAGGAAGTACTTACATTATATCCATCAAATGCCCATGTATATTCATCACTGCCCAACTGATACCCTGGACTGCAATCAGCACGTGCCCATCCAACACGCATTGGGCCTGCAGTCATGATCTCAAATTCAAAGTACCTGAAGGTTTAATAACAAGAGATTGATGTATAAAATACAACTATAGGAACATAATGGTAGAAAGATAACCCAACCATCATCACCACATAGAAGAAAATGATAGGATTAAGAGGACACTGCTCTATAGAAATTGTTTCTTTCAAACATGATTATTCCTAATCTTGATTTGAAGTAAAGATATTTAGGAAAAGGCAGCATGAGATAAAATTACTTTCTGAGGATGGATGCCATTATAAACAAACAAGATGTACTTGATTTCTTCATAAAAGTATTACAAATGTACAAACTTTTTCATGGTAATTCTAGCATCTTCCTAAATTTGAAGGGTAAATTATCACGTAAGCATATTTCTCCTTCTTGTTGTCAAGTGTATGAGTGATTAAAGACAGGTATAGATTGGTAATTGGATTACTGCACACTTATACACACAACTCATAACTACAAGAAACTGTAGTGCTATTGCTAATTCACACTCTACAATTCACTAGTCTTCTCAGCCTGCTGTGTCTTCACCAGTGGACGTTACCCTGTTCCCAGGCTCATGTCCTCGCAGGCTGGCAGTCAACTCACACCAGCCTCCTACTTTTCTAACTGCCATTTCAAGACTATAGACTCGAGACTCTCTTCTAACAGCAGCTGGCCCTCGTTATATAGCCCTGGCATGGACGCCACAGAGAACACCGCCCCAACACCTCTTCCAATGTTGTGTGTGTGTGTGTGTGTCTGTTTTGGCCACTACCTAGCAATGACCATTGTTTACAGAGCCATTACTTAGCAACAGCTGTTGTATGGCTGCTTACGTCGCAGTCATTGCCTGGCAACAAGTCTACATGCCACACTATGTTAAAAGCAAAGCATGGCAAATTAATGTAGAAATGTGACATAAAGTTATAATTTCTTAATGCGGTCCTATGTAACAAGACCCTTGACAGTAAACAAGGCTTTTTGCCTGCATAGCATACTCTAGTTGGAAGGAGAGATCATGTAATTTCATTAAATTCTCATGTTTATTTTAACAAGCACTCTGCTGCTCACAAAGTCCAGTGTATGAACTAAAATTCTGCATTTGACATGGGATGTCCAAATAAGATCCATTCACATGTTTGGCTAAGCCATGGTGGTGCAGTGGTTTCAGCAGCAGTCCAAAAAATTTGTTGTGAAGGGGATCCATTTCCTGGTGACTCAATGGTATGCCTAGCTAAATGGCCATGGGGATCATTTTAATGGTCTCTACTACTTCATAGTACTATTTACTACTATTATACAACCATAAACACAACAAATTTGTAATAACCAAATCAATATTATTGAATTAATAGTACTTCACCCTTGACAATCCCTGGATCTGATTCTTTTGAACAGGCCTTGTACTTTCATGTAAGTGCCCCTGCTTTCCCATTACAATTTACTTTGTTTATGCTTTCTACTTGATACAAAATAGCTTACCATTTTCCTGTAGTGACTGCATAGTTTTTCTCTACTCTGTAGGTTCTGAATGCCATATGCTTACTTCTTGCTGCTTCAGCAAGTAAGGCTGAAACAGAACAAAGCTAATAAATTTTGTTTTCTTGAGACTTAAACTCTTCCTCTGTATATAACATATAATGTGATGTCCCAATGGCTATATACTCGTATCTATAAATAAACAATCCTTCACAATCACATTAACTTTCACTCTTCTTTCTCTGCAGTTCAAATTTTACACATAAATTTAAAGAATTCCTTATGAAATTTACAATGTGCAAGCAGAGTAGGAAAATCCCAATGCCAGTGTTTCATACCAGGTAAGTAAAATACTACCACACCTACTTCACACATCTTTTCATGAGGTTTGCATTAAAGAAACTAATCTAATTAATGCATTCTAAAAGCTTTGATGACTTTGGTAGAATTGAAAAATTCTAATTCCAGAGCTCTAATATGTCAGAGTCAGCAGTTGTTCTAATAACAACAGAAGTATATGAAAAAAAAGAAGTCTTTCATAAACAAAACTAAGATCAAGATCCATAAGAAATACTCATGTCATAAAACAACATGGAATTAATGCCTTTTGTTACTACCACTCCCTTGCACATACCTTCATGTTGCTCTCCAGTTGGAGGATCAAGGTTGTAACCATATACCAACAATGTTCGAACTGTCTCACTTGCAGTGTCCCTAATAATACATACAAGTCAAATTACCCATATGTAGAACATACAGAAAATTTCATGTTCATTAGAACTTTCCTACCACAATCACTGATGGGCATTTCATGTCAGTTTAATTCTTTGGCATCCTTGTCATCTTCCTATGGCCTTAATCCAATGTACTCCAATCCCACATTTTTCCAAATAAATGCATTTCATTTGGACTATTTTTTCCTCAAGAGCAGCTGGTTTCCTAACTGACTCTGAGATATTTGTAACTTCTTCTTCCTTCTCCTCTATGCATATGCATTCCAATTAACCAATAGGGCTGAAGAGATTAAAAATCATCAGCCAGGTACTATCAAACCTACATGTAATGCTCACAGACTGTTCCCATCAGAGCACAGAAATCCAAGGCCATGTTTAGATGAAAGTCAGGAGAGAAAGGACTTATAGGCACAGAAAAAAACAAACATAATAGAAAAAGGCTGTAACTCATATCGTTTGATTTACATGTGGACAAAACATCTGGTATTATCCTTCTGACCTCTTTCTCACATGATTGTTCCATTTTTCCTTCTTTCCTTCCATCCTTTCCGAAACCATTTCCTGTTCAGTTTAAATATTTTGTCTTACTGCAACTTGTCCAAATTGAAAGAATGCAGAAATAATTCAAGAACTGAACACATGTAAATTATTTCACATGGTCAGTTCACAAGTGTCCCAGTGCGCAGTGCTTTTCTTTTTCCAAAAAGAAGTACACAAGTAAACAAAGCAAAATTAAGTACTTGATAGAAACTGAGCTGTTGACTTTGAAGTCAATGGATTCTAAATTTATGTACGTCATTTGGAAATCAATTTTAAAACTTAACAAAAATCATGTAGGATTTAAGATTCTCATGGCAATGGCTATGAAGATGACTGTCTTCTGGGATGTGAAGTTGTGTAGTCCGGTAAACTGTATGGAAGTTTCAAAGGAACATACTGCCTCCATCTTCAGGGTATGTATTAAGCTGGAGTGCTAATGATCAACCTTGTAATTTGGTCAATGTCAAGAAAATTGTTTTACTGTCTAACACATGTCAAAAGTTTACAGGAAATAATATGAACACTTCAGTGCTAAGGCTGGGAATGACAATTTATATAGGAGTGTTTTCATGTGTTTCTAGCTCAGTATAACATTAAGTGACCAAAGGGCTAAGACTCCTTTGAAATGATCTATGAGTCATAGTCACAGAGTAGTTCTTTAGATTTTGCTAAGAAAATACTGGCTTGGTATTAATACAAAAGGGGTTACTGCTTTACACAACTAAAAAAAAAGATCAAATGTCACATCTATCATTTAACACGTACCGGTTTGCTTTCTTGATAGCATCATCCACTTTACTGTAAGGAACCAGATGCGGACTCCTCTTCATATCGGAATCCTGAAACATTACATTCTTTTCTGATTCTTGTTTATGGTAACATAAAAGGAATTCCATATTAAAAATATTCTATAAAGAATCACATATTATTTTCTATCTGAAATGATCAAGCTCCGCATATAGTTACAATTAATATGTTGTTGGACATTATCCATCATCTTGTCTGTTCTCAAAAAACCGTCCTGTTTCTTTTAAAAAACACAACGTTTCGGGGACTGGATTCTGTCCCCGTCTTCAGGTAAAACCTACTCAGTTGGGTCCAATAGACAGACAGGTTTTACCTACTCAGTTGGGTCCAATACACAGACAGGTTTTATCTGAAGACGGGGACAGAATCCAGTCCCCGAAACATTGGGTTTTTTAAAGAAACAGGACAGTTTTTTAAGAACAGACAAGATGATGTATAATGTCCAACAACATATTAATTGTAACAATTTACCACCGTCACAAACTTTTAGATCTTATCTGCATATAGTATTTAACTGTATCACTGGATTAATGGTGTAATCTGTTTTGTTGTTACTGTTTATTTTAGTTTACCAGCCAAGTAAGGCCTGATGAATGTAAATGAAGGAAGGAATGAAGAAATAAATTGCAGCCAATGAGATAAAATAATTGTATACTAGTAATTAAATTATACTTATTGGAAGAACATTTTTATCTATGTTGTTGTTGTCCCGCTTGCTGTGTTTGGCTGTATTTTACTGCATTCACAGCTCTCCCTTATGGGGATCTATGGATTGCATATGAATGTATGAATGGAGACTGCTTGCTTTCTTTTAGTTCTACTTACTTTTACTTACATATTTTATAACTGTTAATGATGTACTCACTGATATTGTTTTGACAACAGGCTCAAATTGTGATGCACAAGTATAATTACCTTGTATCTACGTAATTTATAATCTTATTACTTATTAGCGATGTACTCATCGACACTGTTTCTGTTAACAGGCTCAAATTGTGATGCATAAGTACAATTAACTTATATTTATGTAATTTGTAATCCTGTTAATTATTCAATTAGACTGTTATTGTACAGATGTCATTGTATTTATATTGTATTTGACTTGTTCCATATCCTATGGTGTCTACCTGTATCTGACTTTATGGAACGTAAATAAATTGAACATTGAGCACTGAACAAGGAAAATGACCGATGATTATACTTCACTTCCTATGTAGCATGCAGCAGATCTTTTCCAAACTGTCTGGTTCATATATGTAAAACAATTTTGTGCTTAACTGCTTTGTTCTTCCATTGGGAAGTCAGTCTAGGCTGTAATTAAGCTGATGATTTGCATTTTAAATGGGCTATGAGCCTTGGGGTTTGTCCTCACAGTGATGGGCATGGTGCAGGTTCATCTAGTGATATACGTTTCTTTATTTGTTAATTGCATTATGATTTTTGTTTGCTATTATATTCTGTACTTACTGTCATTTCTGACAATACAATTAGCGGTTTTCTAAAATACTTCCACTTTGGTTGTTTATGCTGCACTATATATTATCAATTCACACCACATAAAAAATAGGGCTGGTCAACATAATATTAATGTGCGGTATTTCAACTGAATGAAAACTTCAATTAAATTAACAGGAAGAAGCTTCCCCTGGGTATATATTTCTGATCCACTTAACAAAATCAGATTTTCAGAATGTTTAACTAAATAAAAATTTTGAGCGTCAATAATACACCAGAATAAGTGCTTACAACATTACCTCATTTAACCCATAAGTCCATCCCTGCTGAATTCGTTCCTTTGCCCACAGATTATGGGTATTCTCTGCCAATTGGTCCACCAGTTCTTCCATCTTAGGAGTGAGCGTTATGGCACCAAGATCCAGTGGAGCTGGTTTGTAGCCATTGGACTGTAGAAATGGTTCATTTGGAAGACGAAGAGATTTTATTCGAGATGGAGGCTTATCCATTGTTATGTAGTATCCCAATGCCAATATAGTTCTAAAAAGAATATACAATGCTTTATATCCATATTTACTTGTTCATAATATAATAATTTTTATGGATGTATTAGTGTTTGAGATTAGAGTGCATATGTACATTATAAATTTGTGTGTCTCATAACTTCATAGTGACCACAGTACCAGCATATGCTCATAGCTCAGCTGCATAATAATCAGAGGAAAAAAGTATCAACAGAATTCAAGATAATGAAATGATGACTTCTGAATTTAGGACAAGCACATAATTTTATTTTTTGTAAATATTAACTACTTAATAAATCCTTTAAAACGCGTCAAATTTAAGGGCCTAGTGATTACAGTAAAAAATAATAACAGTGACTAAATTAACACATTACACAATGATATCCCACTTTACTTAACTTCCCCAGATCTTGAACATCTTACAAGTTTTTATATGTACTCTCTTTTGAATGCGCTTTGCACTGCTATAACAGATGAACATCTCGCATATTCCAACAAACAAAAACTCTTTTCTTGCTTTGTCGCCATTTTGTAAAGGCACTGAATTCGTGCTGCCAACTGGTGCACATAATACAAACTTGGTGAGTTTATGGTTCTTTTTATATATCAATCATATTTGTATATGTAATACTTGGGAAAATATAGCGTTTTAAAAACGAATGAATCATTTATACTAGACCTGTATTTTGTGCTGCAAGAAGTTAATAAGCAACTGTTTAGAAGTACTTATGTAACTTCTGTTGTGACTGCTACATGCCTTTTGCCTTAGAACAACACATGAAAAAGAACCTCAGATCCACACACACTGAGCTATTCATCAATATTACATATTAATTGCCAAGTCCCATTATCACCATAATTGACTCAAGTTATATATTATTGTAAGGTAAACTTTAAGTTCAGGTTGGTTGTAGTTTGAATCTAGGCGATTCATAGTTTACATGGTTGATCCTGTGAATTTTAAACTGAGTCCTACTGCACAAAGTAAATTCAGCATGACTGGTTAGTATCTTACTTCAATGTTTGTACTGCAAGCTGGGAGTCATAACGTTTCTCAGCTGGTGGTAACCGCTCAAACTGAATGAGACACGGATGAATTTTCCTCACATCATCTCGTCTTTCACCATACTGCCAACCAGCTTCAATTTTATTCATAGCCCACATTTCATGAATGTTTTCTGCTAGACGGTCTCTTATACTCTCCACATAACTTGGAAGTGTTACCTAAAACAGAAACCGAAACGTTTTATAGAAGACGACCATGCTATACCATTATATATAATGAACTATACAATTTAATTAATCTTGCACATTAAATACATTCACATACAGCTGTGTATACTATATATGGATTACTATAGGATTCTGACAATGGTGCACGACACACAGAGATATTGGGTTTTCGGACTTTATTTACTTACTTTATATAAGATAACTAAGAAAAACACAACATTTCAGAAACTTGATCTGTTTCCATCCTCAGGTGAGGGAAAATACCTATTCTGTTGTGTCCCTTAGAAAGAGCTAGCCTCAATCAACTGAGGACGGAAACAGATCCAATTTCTGAAAAGTTGTGTTTTTCTTAGTTATCTTAAAACCAGGACGATGGATAAAGTCTGAAAACCCAATATCTCTGTGTATATATGGATTCTCTGTTACAGAAGTCTAAAGGCATCCCACAAAGGGTAGCCGAAACACCAGGAGACGCAGAAAGCACATCCTTGGAAGGAAAGGAACGAGGGTGCAACGTTAGGCTATTTGGGACGAACAGCCTTAAGGAGGGAGTGGTGTGACGTGTTGCGCAATGGAGGACAACCCCTCACACCGCCAGCTTGACGTAACAGTTTCGGAGCATTGCCGTTGCTATGGTAATAAGCCAGTCAACACCACGTCTCTCCCTGCGGTGACGTAACACAGGATGCCACCGTTCCTACAAAGCAGTAAACAACTCCCAACAGTGTTGCTAGCAACACAGTGCCAGACAACAGTGGTGGCTATTACGTGGCTGTTTTCTGCGTTGTCCGGAATGAGGCAAAATAAGGAGCAGTGAAGACTATTCACATTAGTTCTCAAGTTGCGAGCTAGCTACGAGTTAGCCAGGCAGTCAACCTTTCAGCGGTAGTCTAGCATTTGCAGTCTAGTATTTGTGATACTGCCGATGGCAGTAATTGTCAGATTGTAATTTGTGTGATTATAAGAGCAAATGTGAAATAAAATTCACTATATCAAATACGGCGTGAAATTATTTGTCGCGTTATACACCAACACGTGACAATATATTGTATGACAATTGCATAGCAATTGCTAATTAAAGTCAGCGTTTTCTTTTTTGTTGCTGTGTTCTAATATTAAGGATATATTTATAACAGACATACAATATTTACACAAATAAATGCAATTTACAGGTGAATTTCAATATAACGAAAAACTTATAATTACAAAAAATGTCTGATGTCGAAATTACTCGTGGAGCTACCCCAAGTACTCAAAATGAAACACTGGGGTGCTACTTCTACTCATTGCTCCTGCATGCACCTGCTCGGGGTCAACAAGATGATGGACAAACTTCAAGGTCTTACAGCAAACAACATTAGCATGTATATATGGTCATGTGTTAGGGTTATGTGACTATAGATGGGGTATGGATTGGTGAATGGATTTATTGACCACTTATGAACACCACTCGGAACTACAAGTAATACAGCACTATCACTGATCTACATGCTTTACATTTCACCGTTACACACACTACGGTTCTCAGTCTTCACTAGTTGTATCTTGGCGATGGATTTCAACATAATAATTATACCAGTCTCACTGTATCTACAGCACACATGAAGTCTTCTTTTCACAGCCACACTCTTGCAACTCAACTAACTCGTTTCCATCTCTTCTCAATTATCTTTGAACGCCATCTCAAGGGACTCAAATGGCCTGGGATCCTTGTTATACAGCCTCGGGGCGGATCCAACAGAAAACACCGTTTCCATCATTATAGCTCAACAATACTTCGACTGTTGCTTGCTTATTCATTGCTGTGGGAACCTGTTTACCAAGTCGTCGCCTAGCAACGAACATCCACTATGGCTTTCAGGGATCATATCACAATATTATACTGCAGCATGCAGACTTGTCACAAAATAAGCAACTATGCAATGTCTGTTACTAGGAAGCAGCCGGTAAACAGCAATAGAGGAATGGTGCTTTCTGTGCAGTCAGTGCCAAGATGTTATAAGCAGCACAAATTAGAAGTGAGTCAGTCAGTTAGTGGGTTTGTTAGATAACCACTGTGGTTAAGTTGTTACAAGTTGTTTCTGTGGGAAGCTGGTAGCTGATGCCAGGGACAGTTCCGGAACCCAGAGGAAGGGGAATGTTGGAAGTCGTTACCAAATGTCTAGTGAAGACTGTTAACAGACTGAGAAGACCTAGTGTGTCCTATAGTGAACTGTTAAGTGTGTAGAACAGTGAGAGCATAACCTTACTTGTAGTTATGAGTTGTAAGTGTGCAATAACTCAAGTCATCGATCTTCTCAAATGAAGATAAATCAAAATGTAAGGTGACCCCATAACTGCTAAGAAACATGTCTGCACATAAAATATTGTAACGAATTTTTGGAGTGACTACAGATGGGTTTGGGACTGATGACTGGAATTACTGAACTCTTTGATACACCACTCATCCCTAAGCTTCACAGTTTACTATTACACACACATTAGTGTTCACAGTAATGTCTTCACTGCTGTTGCTTGGTAGCAGTTTCCAACATCCAAGGTTCACCTTCCTCTGGGTTCCCAAACTATCTCCGGCCCCAGCTACGAGGGTCATACTGAAAGTCATGGGCAACAATTTTTTTTGTAAAGTAACATGCTTTATTATCGACAAACCAAATACACCATCTCAATCTACAGACCTTTCTTTATTTTTCCACATAATTGCCACTTCTTTGTACACATTTCTCCCAGTGTCTGGGAGTTTGAAAATTCCCCTTCTGTAAAATTCCGTTCCAGCCATCCGAAGACACTGACGCACTGCTTTCTGAATTGCCTCCCTCGTCTCAAAACGTTGTCCGTGCAGCTGATCCTTCACAAATCCAAAAAGATGGTAGTCGGAGGGTGCCAGATCAGGGCTATAGGAGGGGTGTGGAAGAACTTCCCATCCAATCTTTGCAATTGCTTCCAATGTGAGGTGAGCGGCATGGGGGCGAGCGTCGTCATGCAGGATGATGATGTTTCGTCCCAGACGTTTATCGCGCAATACACGACAGAGCTTGTGCAGTGTCTGGACATAATGAGCAGCATTGATGGTTAGCCCAGGTTCCAGGAATTCGGCCAGAATAAACCCCTCTGCATCCCAGAAGACTGTGCCCATCACCTTCGCAGCTGATGGCGCTGTCTTTGCCTTCTTTTTTGATGGAGAATTCAAATGGTGCCATTCCATACTCTGCCGTTTCATTTCAGGCTCGAAATGGTGAAAACAGCTTTCGTCACCTGTCACAATACAGAGCAAAAATCATCGCCTTCATGTCGATATCTGTGCAGCAGTTCTGAGGTGATGGCTTTTCGCTGACCTTTGTGGTCTTCAGTCAATAACCGCGGGACCCAACGAGCACAAACTTTCCTATAGCCCAAGCTTTCAATCATCTCCTGTACTGCACTGTACCCTATTCCAAGTTTTCAGGCTATTGTGTCCACAGTCACATGCCTGTCATATTGAATGATCTCATCCACTCTTTCTTTGTTGTGTTCAGTTGAGGCTGTTCGAGGACGACCGCTCCGAGGCTCATCTTCGATGGTGTTCCCATCTTTAAAATGTTTCACCCATCTTCAAACATTGCTCGCACTTCCATAGGCACGCTGAAGTCTCTGGTGAATTTTTGCAGCAGGGATTTCCTCTTTCACAAGACATTCAATGACAGCATGCTGGCGAAACAACATATCGTTGTCGGCCATTTTGTTTGGAATGATACTGGTCACGTGATGCAAGCTATTGATGTCACAAGACACTCAAGGTTAACACAACAGCTGGTTCCACCTACCACCGTACTCTCTTTCATCTGCTGTTCCCAGGCTGCATGCAAAAAAAAAAGTTGCTCATGACTTTCGGTACGTCCTACATACTAGCTTATAACAGCAACAGCTCACAATGACTGAACCAGAGCAGTTATCTAACAGCTAACTGACCATGCTTATAACGTCTCAGAATGGACGGCATAGGAAACACCGTTCGTCTCTTGCAGTGCAACTGTTGCCACGGAAACATGCTTATATGCGGAGCCGTTACCTAGCAACGGCTGCTGTATAGTAGCTTATTTCACGGTCGTTGCCTAGCAACGGGCCTACATGCCACAATATGATTTTCTTGTATGTATTAATTCTGTATATTTACTACCTGCAAACATGTCAAAGCATTAAAAAAAATTTAAATGTTATACATCAGCCAGTTTCTTATTTCTCACACTTATTTGCACTGCATTCACAGAAATATATTTTTATGAGGATTTACAGTTTTTGATTCACAGCTTCAATGGTTCTTTGGAGAAATTCATCACAGCTCCTGACTTTGAAATATATTTCTCTTTTTCTCTCTCACTTTCTAGAGTGGTGGCATGACATGGCAAGAATGTTATCATTTACTGAATCCTAGAAACATTAACCCACTAGCACTTTAAGACTCAAGTCGAAGAAAATAGTCATTTTTTTAAGTTGAAGTATACAAAAAACCTAGTCTTCCATTTGGAAAATATGATACTAAATCAAGGCAGCGTTTTCATCCAATAAACGGAGGAAAAACAATAAAATGAGAACCACTAATTTGGGGAAACTATTAACTATTTATATGGAGCTTTGGCCAGGATGACTAGAAACAAATGAAAAATGTTGGGAACTCTTTGATCAAGCAACCATAAATCAGGATTCTAATGTGTTCAGAATTACAAATAAAAACATGGAATACATCAACATATGGTGTATATTACTATCTACCTGTGACACATCTGTTTCCCATTCATAACACTGCAGTTTCAGAACTAGTACTATATGACTATGTAAATACTGTATGCACAAATTGCATAAACATTGGTCTGTCTTTTTTTCTGAAGTGTTTGCCACTATACATTGACTATAAATTGTGGCTTTACTTACAGTTGTAGTGTCAACAGGTGTTGGCACAAATGCAGTATCATCTTCCACAGGCCAAGGTCCAGAAAGGACAACCTTGTTAAGATTTCCAAAATAAAAACATGGATCAATTGAGAGCACTTGTTGTGGCAGCAGGCTTTCAACTAGTGGTGAAAATTCCTCAGGAGGAATGTATTTCAAGCGGCCATGGTCACCACCAAGAAGAAATCGGCAGCTGAAAATAAGGACAACTCATTCAATTGCCAAGATCTGTTCAGAAAGATAATATAGAGGAGTTATAAAAATGAGTGAGGTACTTCATTACTATCAGATACATCAATAAAGCTGTCTCAAGTGGTAATTCTTCCAGCTCAGAAATATGAGGGTCTGGTTCAGATCTCACCTGGGATACTGACTATCCTGACTGGGGCTTTAAGCAGTTTTCCTCAGTCCCTCCAGACAAATGACAGCATAGTATTTTAGATTACTCCAAAACTGTTTTCATCCACATTTCTTTCAAATCGTTCCATCATTCAACGCTACATTGTCTGACATCAAATAATCTACAAATCAAAATATAACTAAGTTCAAGAGATATGATGATGTACAAATGTTTCCTATAAATGAAACATAAATTATGTAATTCCTGTATCAATGATTTCATCCCTGTACTACTGACAAAATATGACTGAGTTTCATATATTTTCCTATCTTGTGGATGGTGGGAGTGGAATGGAGCTATTCTTTGTTCCTCGTATAATACATATCACCACACAATTATTCCATTCATATATATATATATATATATAAAGTAAAGCTACCCGTATAGCAAGCCGTGGCGGCCCACAGGGTTGTGAGACATCAAGGCTCCCACATTTACTAGACAGTCGGCTCACAGATGGCAGTGAGGTTGTCAGCCTTATACACAGGCCGCCCTTTAACCCCCAAGAAGATTCCTGGCACTCAATTCTGCTAGAGGATGAGTCAACCCCAGGGCCATAATGTGACTGGAAGGATTAGGTAAATTGAAAAGAAAACCCACTTCATCGGGACTTGAACCTGCAACCTTCCAACTTGTAGCATAGTGCCTCAACCAACTATGCTACTGTGTGCACCATTTATACATTATTATTTATTTTTCCTTAAGAGTGAACCCAGTTTAAAATATGCTGAGACTTTTGACAGATTTTGTAACATTGAAAACTATCGAAAGTTATGCAGTTTTTTTCAGGAAAATATTGTGAACTGTCTTATGGTAAATCACAAATACAGTTAATAAGACTTAAAATTTTGTGCTGATCATTTATTAATACAATTATTGTATTTCTGTACATTATCCATAACACAATAATTATACAAAACTGGGCAAAAAATACCACCATACAGTTACATTAAAGAATAAAAAGAAATGGAAAGGCAAACAGGACTGCATGGAACAAAACATAAACATTATTCTGATCAATGTTATGAATAAGTTCTATAAATAAAATATTGGTATATGCTGCAAAAATCATTGCCCAGCATACTGCAAAGCACAGTGATGAAGGTGCATAGACAAATCACAGATGAAAGAATGAAGATGAGTCAAATAGATGAAATCAACATGAAGACATGAGCAAATAATTTTCTTAACATTAATAGCAGAAAGATTTATATTTAAAGAAACAAGAATACAAAGTTTATTAACACCTTGTCCCAATTCTTATTCTATTCCTGTTGTCAACAGAAGGAAACTATTTTTTTGGCAGAGAGATAGGATGGGATGATACTGATTGGATTGATCTGGCTCAGGATAGGAACCAGTGGAGGGCTCTTGTGAACACTGTAATGGACTTTTGGGTTCCATAAAATGCTGGGAAATTCTTGAGTAGCTGCAGAATTGGCGGCTCCTCCAGAAGGGCTCAGCTCCACGAGTAAGTACAGCAAATCTCTCTTGTAAAAGCCTGAGCTGACAAGACACTTCAGCATTCTCATCAAATCTCACAGTTGCTATTACATCTTACAATTTCTCAGTGCTTATACTTAAATAGTTACTTATTGCTTAAGTGTGTTTCATCTGTTCTTTATTGTGTTTGTGCTTTTGCACATTTTGTAACTTCCTGGTTTTAAATGTACCACACTAGAACTGGAACTCTGCACTTGAAGAGCAGATTCTATCAAATTTAACACTTTCACTGCTGCACAAGTAAAAGTTCTCTTTGGGCTAAACTTTTTACAGTAAATGAATTCATTAAAATATTTTCAGCAATCAGCAGTCAAATTCAGTTAAAAGCCAATATCTTGGAGACCTCCGCTATCTCCATCATCAGTAGTTCTGCCTCCTAGAAAAGCACTGTAACTTTGGTATGGAAAAAGTGCAGAGTACTGTAACAGTGATTTATTCCATCAAGAAAATAAAATAAAATGCAATTAATATAATTTAATACATCAGATTTAAACTAAGTTTAAAATACAAAAAGACAATTTACTTGTATGATAAAGGATAAATTCTTGCATTAATGTTCAAATTCTGATAGTCTGACAAATATTTACAACCACAAAAAAGTTTACTCACATATTTTTCTTCAACAACAATTAAGGAGTTAGAAAATTATAACAGTATAGTATACGTAAATAAATATTAAGAAAGCATGATGGTAGAATAAATAACCCTAACTACATGTAAATTGCACTTACAAAATAAATAAATGACAGAATTATATTCTATCAAAGTTACATTGCACACTGTGAGGACACCATACCTTAGTTTGGAAGAGCAGCTAATTACTGGGAAGAACATGCCATCCAAGTTAAAATTCCTGAATGATCCTTTCACAATGTGTCCATTGAATGTGAATGTTATTACTGGAACTGTTAAATCCAGTGCACAGCCAATCACATCTCCTTTCTTGATACAAGGCTCCATTGCATCTGGTATCACAACAGTATTGCGGCCACCTACATGGAATATATATTTTCCTAAAATTATAGGTATCAAAAAATGGTTTTATGGTGACAGAATTTTAAGCCATGTCCACATGAATGTGAAACACTGGGTGTACATGCTGGAAAATGTTGACTGTACATTATGGACTGATTGCTCTTTACATCAATTTTTAATGTAGTGTGAAATAAAGAATGTATCAATTATGTATATTAAGGGCATTCTGAAAAGTGCAAGCCAGTTATGAGTACATTTTCAATTTGATTAACACATGTTATACTATTCAGTGAAGGAAAGTGGAACTTACAGTACGGGGCAATTCATCTGATAGTTATGACACTTTTTTATCAGTCTCTTAGTCAGTTTGCAGTGAGTAGTGTTAACATAAACAGATTCCATTGCATCATTGCTGCTGCAACAATAAGTGCACAGTTTATGTCCATGAATCATTGCAAACGTGTATTGTCACCAGACACCTGTAAGCACATTTTGTGCCTGCATCCAACCATGGTGAGATGTAGCAGTGCATATGTTTCTTGTTCAGAACTGGAGTTACTCATATTTTATGCAGGACAATGGCTCTACAGACTGTTCATGATGAACAAGTAGTCAGTGGAGGTGTATGGACATGACGTTTGCAGGACTAGAATGTGTGCACTTTTTATTTCTAAAGATCCACAAAATCTGCAGCCCCTGCCCACCAACAGGCATCTCAACCTATGAACAGGTGGTAACAATGCATGCAATCTGAAGTCTTCATAGCAGTGAAGATTCAGACTGTGGTGTTTTGGGTTATGACACCATATACTCTAGTATATTTTTCTCACATTTGGAAGAATATGATGCCTCCATCTTAAAATGGAGGCAACAGGTTCCCCTGAAATGTTGGTACCCAACCACCATACTACCTGGTACCAAAAGTCAATGACCATAGTCCAAAAGTGACAAGAGCTGGAAAGGAAGGAATGAATGTATTACTCTGTATAACTCTTACTGAACACATTTAAATTATGCTGCTAGAAAAGGAATAATTGGGACAGAAACTTCATTAGAAAATTCCTGCTTATTAATAAATTACATTTTTTCATTCCAGCTACATATTCACTGTTATTTCAGTCCTTATAAAAAGTCTTTGTTGGCAAGAGATTCTTAACAGCTGAAGTCTTGAGAACATCTCGAGAGGTCCCTGCTGCAGTTTCAATATGTCTCCAAGTAGAACTTAAATGGATGGACAGCATAAATTTGACATTCTTTTTCTGACATATACACATAAAATATTTGTTAATATTTCTGAATCACAAAAATTATCACAACTTCTCATGTTGGCATATGCCCCCTTCCCCCATCTGGGATTGTTTTGGATACAATCAGGAAGTATGGAAGCTCAGTATGTAATGAGGCTGCAAATAGGAAAATGCAGAAGGAAAAAAACGACTTCACAATTCTACATCCAGGACGGACACTGTAAGCACTAAAACTGCTGAGTTAACTGGTGCAGGATTAAAGACACATTGATGTACTTGGCTAAGGGAGGATTCTGGTTGTACATTTTGGCCTAGGAGCTGGGTGCAGAAAGAACACTAACGCAGATCTAGTCAAGGTAAGGTTCAAGGAACAGTGTCTGAGGACAAGGGTGTAGTTTGACCTCCAAATGATCACCTATCACCAAGGAGTCCTGATCATTAATCCCAGCCAGTCATCATACATACATTACATTCCATAGATCCAAAGTAAGTCAGAATGACTGTAGAATGTGGAACAAGTAATACAAATACAAAAGTCACAGTACAACTGAGACACAAAAAAAAAATACATCCACATATACATATAAGTCAATACTGTCAACTTATGCTATGTACATAACCTTTTAAAAGGACCAGTCATTTTTAGACTGTAGGAATTCATCAACAGAGTAGAATGAGTGTGTATTTAAGTATCGTTTTAGATTGCACGTTTTCATTCATTAGACTTTTGAGACTAGATGGTAGATTGTTGATAATTTTAATGCCAGAATAATATGCGCTTTTCTGAAAACATGTCAGGTTAGCAACCGGTCTATGGAGATGGTGTTTCTTTCTTGTGTTAACACTGTGTACATCCGAATTTGTCTGAAAACGTTCTTGGTGATTTATAAAAGTAAAGTAAAAAGTAAAGCTATCCCTGTACCAGGCCGTGAAGGCCCATACGGTTGTGAGACGTTGAGGGTCCCACACTATCTAGACAATTAGCTCAAAGATGGCGATAAGGTTGCCAGCCTTATATGCTGGTTGTGCTTTACTCCCCAGGAAAATTATTTTTAATTAATTCCTGGTACTAATTTCTGTTAGAGGCTGAGTAAACCCCAGGGCCTAGTGCGGCTGGAAGGATTAGGTCAACTGAAAAAAATCCTGAAAATATATATTCACATGGAAGAGGTAAGATCTGTAATCTCTTAAATAGATCTCTACAAGAATTTTGAGGTTTATGATTTTAACAATTTTCTTTTGTAATGTAAATACCTTTTTGCTGTCAGATGAGTTACCGCAAAATATTATTCCATACTTCATTATAGAGTGAAAGTAGGCAAAATAAACTGATTTCAGTGTATCAATGTTGCTGACATGTAACAAAGCTCTTACTGCATAACATGCCCCACTTAACTTCGGAGCCATTTAATCTATAACAAGTGGAAGCATTGAAGTAATGGATTTTGTAACATCTCAGTTATATTAATTAATTTTGGCTTACTGTAAGCCTTAATATCATATGCCGTCTAATATGCGTTTGGAATATGACATGAACTTAACAAGTTCTTACCCATCCAAAGGCTTGCACCATCAAAACCATAGGAATACAAGTCATCACCGATACCATTGCCACCCCATTTCTCACCTCCACCTGGATAAGGTACATACCTATAAAGAAACAATTCACAGTCTTAATAAAATATTTAAGAAACCATATGTAATAGAGACCTTGAAACAGTTGTAGATATTGCAGGGTTGGGATTTCATTCAATTTATTATCAACGTCAAAATATACAAGAGGGACAGATACTGTCATACAATAATTAACTAAGAAACTCCATGAAGCACAGTCCTTCTTAAATAGCCAACAACTACTCAGTCTAGAAACTCCCATCATTTTATGGAAACCCACTGTTCATTAGTATTTTTACAACAGCTTACTACTGGTCCCTTTCCTGATCCAAATGAACCCAGCCCAGAACCTCCTTACCATCTTATTCTCTAATATCCTTTTTATATTATCCTCCTATCTATGTCTAAGCCTTCCTAGTTACCTCTTCCCTTCACACTGTCCTACAAAAACTCCTTTCCCATGCATGCTACATGTTCTTCCCATTTCATCCTCCCTGAACTGATTGTTCTAATATCTGGTCAGGAGTAGAATTTATGAAGCTCCTCATTATGCAGTTTACTCCAGCCGATTATTTCATCCCTGTTAGGTCCAAATATTCTCCTCAGTACCCAGTTCTCACACTATGTTCTTCCCTTAATGTAACAGACCAAAATTCACACCCATACAAAACTACATGCAAAATTACAGTTCTGTATATTTTAATCTTTATATTCTTAGACAGCAAGCAAGAAGAGAAAGAATTCTGAACTAAGTGAATGGTAGCAAGCATTCACTGAATTTAACCTGTTCTTCATTTTCTCATCAACAAAACGTTAAATTGTTAGTGTTTACCCAAATATATGAATACGGCCAAGTCATGGGTTTATAAATTATAGTAACAAGAAAACAAAGTAACGACTATACAGAAATGTATATATTTTCTATAAAGCACTTCAAGTCAAAATGCATGTTATATCTTACTGACTATAGAAGTCTCTTCATTACACCAATTTCTTATTCCTAAATTCTGATATATTTCTTATAATTTCTTTTGCTTGGTTTATTGGGGCCTGATGCCAAAAGAGATCAATGTCATATCTGCTGAAAGGGAGATGAATTTTTCCCTTTCTCTTTTATGGCTTACTATGGATCATCATTAATTTGAGTATTAAATATATGTACATAAGATGTTTCTAACTACTCTTTAAGCTTTTAGTGTGTACATGCTGAAGTTAGCACTCTTAACATGCCATGAGATTAATCACATGGAATACTAAGGAATCATCTTCCATTGACATAAATATGGTAGTACACTTCAGTGCAGTGTGCAGATGTGGCTAGTGTTATAAATTCTTACAGTGAAAAAACTGGTCTGCTACAGAAAATTCTTACTTTCATCTCAATTCTTGATATTTTTCCAAATTATTGTCTTGATCTCATCTCACATATGCCCAATAAATAAATACATGCTTAGCAGCTAAAGTAAAGCTGAAACATCACACTATCATACTCATAAACATTATTTCCAGGCTCAATATACATTTACATTCTTATTACATATTATGAATATGATACAAAGCACTGTTTATACTCTTACCCAGCAGTGTTGGCCCAGCCAATCCTTAGGTGTGGCATCATATGAGTTGTCTGTTCAACATGGTCTACTGTCACTTCAAAATACCACTTCTGGTACATAGCAGATCCTTCTACTCGTCCCACAAAGATGTTTGGTCTCACACTGGAGGTACAAAGGCATTCAATTATATACCTTCAGTATTTGTTCTAAGGTGATTTTGGATTAATTTGGAGAAACTTATTTCACTCAGAGGCACTAGAAAAATAATGTTACAAGAGTGTCAACTGCAACTGCAACATTTAAACAACACTGTCTTCATATGAGTTGTCAAGAATGCAATAGCATAGCATTTCCATTTACAGCAGAAGACAGTTCAGAGGCTTCTTCTGCCCACTGCAGTCCACCAATATGTGCCCTCTTGGTCACTCTGTCAGTAATAACTGCATGTTCATACAGTGTTTTGTGAGGTCTTCATGTTGATAGCCTATCAGTTATAGACAAATTTGAAAATATGAGTACCATTCTGTAGCTGAAGGATCTCTCTCTCAAAGAGTTAACTGTTACACCCAAAAACCAGCAAAAATATTCTGGCTTAAACCGGGTTTCAGTATACTAAAACTGGTTCATCACAACTTTCATAAACAAATTATACTTCTTTCATCATGGGTGGATAAATTTTTCCTATGAAAAAGAGGTTCAACATTTCAAAGCAGCCATTTGCTTGGAATCTTCAAGAATACATAAAAGCCCATCCTCTGAGTGACAGCTCTTAATTACTGAAGTTTTTGTCTCAAAATATCCACAGCTGCTCACATGTCCAGTGTCTTTCGATATAGAATTTTGTTGGCCAGGTTCACAGTTAAGAATGTAGCACCAAATAACACTACAGAACAGAAATTTAAAACATTTCATGTGACATTCTAGTGAATCACCCTCATGCAACAGAGGGTCATAGGTCAGATCTTGGCTTATTTCCAACAGTGCCTCATATATTCAACCTGGTTTGATCCTACATACTGCAATATACGAGGGGGGACCCAAAAATAACTGGAACCGACCTGTTGCGCGCGCATGCTTTGTAGTTACGAGTTGTGCTGCTAGGTGGTGTTAGCTGGGGGTCTCCCGCGACTGTTAGTGAGCTGGCGTCAGTCTGAGTTAAGTGGTTTGTCTGTGGTGCTCTGTTGTGTG